CAATAAATAAACAAAATGAGTGTGTTAAAAAAAATTTTTTTTTTTACAACTAGAATGTATTTGAGGAAGAGAAAATTTTAAGAAACCTTTTTTTAAAAAGGGTAAATGAACTATTCTCAAGAGTTATTTATCTTTGGTAGTAACTATACCTAAGAAATAATAAGAGACCTACCTTTAAAGACAAACAAGGTAATGAATGATGCTTTGCATAAGCTCATGCAACAAAGAAAACCTGGTTTTACTGAAGGAGAGTAAATGTACAAATCAGCCCCCAAACCTGGAGACTTCCCCTCTAGTTATAAACTGCTATATATATCAAGCTGCTGAACATGCAAATGAAGGTGTACCAAATATGCAAATGAAGGAACCAAACGTGAATGGAAAGGTAGCAGAGGTTCCCAGATTGGTTAAAAGGCAACATCTAACCTACAGTCTTGCTCATCTGCTCTTTGCTTTGCCAAATAGTAGCAAATCTGTTACAGGAAGTCAGAGCCTCAAATTAAGTCTTCACCAGACCCAAGATGTACACATTGTTGTAAACGAATCCTTGATGCAGGTCTCCAGAACCCTGGAGCAGTGTCTGGCTACATCCTGGATGCTAAATAGGGGTATCAACTTTCATCAGAGGGCCTCTAAGCTTCTGGTCCCTACATCCACCCCATCTTGCCACATGTGCTAGAAATCTGTAGCTTGTCTTACCCCCCCTAGTTTCCATGGAGATGCAACAGTTTACTTTTTTTCCCCCAATTGTAAGCCACGGTTATTTTTAACTGGAAAACTCTGAGCCAGGTCACAGCTGGGATCTGGATGATGCAATGACGTCTATAGCCACCCTTCTCTCCCACAAACGCCTTCTTTTCCACAGTTGCTGGGGGTGGAGGCACTCCTGGGAGATTTTGCTCTCAAAAGCATTTCGTTTTGCATCATGAAGTTAAAACCCATGCCCTGTCTTAGATCTGACAGGTGTCCTGAATCTGAAGCTATGCACACCCAGAACAAGGCCAAGATTTTCTTGTTGGGGTTGACAGCCAGGTGAGGTTGACACCTATCTGTGGCTGGAGCTTAGATAAATGCTTCTACCTCCTCCAGCATGGCTTTATCAGCCAAAGTTTGCCCTTAAAAAGGCTAAAAAGAGGCTCCTACTAGGGGATATTGTATGGAAAAGCTGTTACCCCACCTCTCCAAAGCAAACAAATATCCATGATCTCAGGGTCAGAAACCTGCTGTCTCCTCTGCTACTGAAAGTTCAAATCAGTCCATCCAAATCAGCTAGAATCTTCAAGGCATTTCTGAACTTTTTGCTCCTTTTCAGTAATTTTGGGGAAAAGCTGTTAAATTACCCTGAAAGTTGCCCTTTTCATCTCTGACAACTTCCTAAAGATTAGAAACTGAAATAAAAACATCAGTTTTCTTATAGGGGACACTGATTGGGCAAATGCACTATTCCCCCCCAACCACCCCCTTCCCGTCCCCCCAGCCAAGGAGTTAGTTATCTCTGGTAGTAACTGTAACCGAAATGCTAACAGCCCATAGCCCAGATTCTACTGATTTTTCTTTTTTTTTTCCTTGAGACAGAGTCTCAGTCTGTCACTCAGGCTGGAGTGCAGTGATGCGATCTCAGCTCACTGCAACCTACAACTCCCAGGTTCAAGCGATTCTGCTGCTTCAGCCTCCCAAGCAGCTGGGATTACAACACACGCCACCACGCCCGGCTAATTTTGATATTTTTAGTAAACAGGGGATTTGTCTCAAACTCCTGACCTCAAGTGATCTGCCTGCCTCGGCCTTCCAAAGTGCTGGGATTACAGGTGTAAGCCACCACGTCCGGCCTCCATTGATTTTTAACTTCTTAATACGTTTTTATGTTTTAAAGGAATGCTGTAGGTGAAGGGTGATAATGAAGGGTGAGGGGTGAGGGGTGAGGGAGGGATCCAAATCAATAGTTATATATTGTTCAATAGGAAGAAAGGCTTAGGTAATTGCAAAGAATTTCAGAAAGAGAGAGTATACTAGGCAGATAGCTTTCCAAGGAGAGGATACATTAGAAGTGTCACGAGTTGTCACTTAGCTGTCAGTTCACTGAATAAGGGTGATTCAATGACAGCATTTCAACATTTCTGCTTTGATTAAGAAAGTCCTGGTTTCTTAAAACTATGAGGCCTTCTCCTTTCCATACTTCCTAAGATGCTGATTCTGTTCAACACAACTCCGGACCAAGGCAGGTTTATTATAAACTACCTGGAAGCTTTTTGCCACGTACAGCCTCAGGGGAGACCTGCCTTGGTCTCCCCTGAAAAAAGTGTTGCTTGCGGTGAAACCCCGTCTCTACTAAAAATACAAAAAATCAGCTGGGCATGGTGGCGCGTGCCTGTAATCCCAGCTACTCAGGAGGCTGAGGCAAGAGAATTGCCTGAACCCAGGAGGCGGAGGTTACGGTGAGCCGAGATCGCGCCATTGCAGTCCAGCCTGGGAAAAAAGGGAAAAACCCCCCCCCAAAAAAAAAAAAAAAAAAAAAGTGTTGCTTGGTTCAGAACGGGGGGTTAATTCAACCAAATGATTAAGTTGGTGCCACAGAAATCCATCCTGCTGCTCTAAAGTAGAAAATAGGTGCATCAGACTCACTTATCCAGCCCAATTCTGGGCTAGCAAAATTTAACTATAGTTTTCTTTTTTTTTTTTTTTTTTTAAAATCTTGGGATGACCCAGGTGAAAACTATAGAGTTTTCAAAGACAGGGGTAAGTACAGTGACCTTCAGGGCTACATCTATGAAATAAATTTTTTGTAGTTTTCAGGGTTTTGAACCTTTTAGTGGGAACTTCCTGTGCTATCTCCATTTCCTTATTGCCACTGCCAACAGGGAAGGGAACCTAGTACACAATGCATAACAAGCTACTCAAGTGACATACATCTTTCCCTTAAATAATGTGTCTGATTTGTAGCTTAGTCAATCAAATCAAAGGGCAATTTGACTGCATTACGTCTTTCATTGCAGTACACCTTAACTGCTGGAAGCCAAGGCAACAAACAGAAAAAGAACTCCCTGCCATGAGACACAAACTGGTTTTCCATGCTGCTCAGAAACTGTTCATTTGTTCCTTCCTCAAATGTAGCATACTAACACTTCAGTTCTGATGCATATTTCAAGGATTGGCTACTTAGGTTCCAAATTCCCTAGTTAAAAGCTCTTCACTTTTTTTTTTTTTTTTTTTTGAGACAGTCTTGTTCTGTCGCTGAGGCTGGAGTGCAGTGTCAAAATGTCGGCTCATTGCAACCTCCACCTCCTAGGTCCAAGTGATTCTACTGCCTCAGCCTCTCTGAGGCTGGGATTATAGGCGTGAATCAGCACGCCTGGCTAATTTTTGTATTTTTGGTAGAGACAGGGTTTCACTGTGTTGGCCAGGCTGGTCTCAAACTTCTGACCTCAAGTGATCCGCCCACCTCAGCCTCCCAAAGTGCTGGGATTACAGACATGAGCCACTGGCTTAAAAACTCTTCACTATTGTTCTCGCTCCCACATCAAGTGCCTAGGTCAGCAGGACTATTACTATTCAGGTTGCTGTGACCCTGGCTCCTGTTATGCTTCACTCACATTTGACTCAAAAGGACTAGGTATCGTTGTGTTTTTTTTTTTTTGAGACAGGGTCTTGCCCTGTCACTCAGGCTAGATTACAGTGGCACAATCATGGCTTACTGCAGCCTTGACTACCGAGGCCCAAACAATCCTCCCACCTTAGCCTTCCAAGTAGCTAGGACAACAAGCATGAGCCACCACACCCAGTTTTTTTTGTGGGGATGGGATAGAGACGGGGCTCTTGCTGTGTTATCCAGCCTGGTCTCAAGCTCCTGGCTTCAAGTGATTCTTCCACTTCAGCCTCACAAATTGCTGGGAGATTACAGGCATGAGCCACTGCACCCAGCCTGTGTCTGAAAGAGAAATCTTTTAGCTTGGCCAACTCTTCTACACAAGGCCACAGACATGGCAGTGTCCCAGTGTTTCAAAGGTGGTCCTTTCTGGCACATGTGGGAGAGGTTAGCTGGATTTGGCTAAACACATTGCAAAGGAAAACAAAGTTTCCAGATCAGCAGCACCTCTTGAATCAAACTTTTATCTAAATTTAATTTTTAGAAATTCAAACAAATAAAAAGCCAGGTGCATACAAGATATAGAAAACTCTTTTGTGTTGTCAAGAATAATGCAATGTATATTTGGAAGGTCCACAAAGATATCCTTAAAAATGAATGGGTGAAGTTCCCCAGAATGCTTTCGAGAACACAGTACCACTGTCTGCTTAAAGATGCATGAAAAAGTGGTTTTTGGAGGGATTCTAGGTGTTAAGCTTTGCAAAGTTGGGTTTACCAAAGAAATAATAAAACTCATACATATTTATGAGTTTTCCCAAACTGCTATGTAATTTGGCCTCTGATTCTTCACATTAGAGATTTTTTTCTCTTGTTACATACCTACATATTTCCTAAAGCTAGAATGACTTAAAAACTGGGATTCTGTTGTTATTGATGAATGCCATTGGTTTTCTCCCTTTTCCATCTAATCCCCAGCTGAGGAAGATTTCAATAACTGGTTGCTTAACTGAGTTCAGATTTTAAAAGCAGGGGAAGTGAAGGCAGTTAATAAAAGGAAGGAAACCAGGACCAGGAAAAGATAAACTGTGAATATGTAGTATTAATTGGTCCCTCTCTCTTTTTTTTTTGGGTGGAGTGGAAATGGTGCGATCTCGGCTCACCGCAACCTCTGCCTCCCAGGTTCAAGTGATTCTCTTGTCTCAGCCTCCTGAGCAGCTGAGATTACAGGCGTGCGCCACCACGTCCTGCTAATTTTTTGTATTTTTAGTAGAGATGGGATTTCTCCATGTTGATCAGACTGGTCTTGAACTCCTGACCTCAGATGATCCGCCTGCCTCCGCCTCCAAAAGTGCTGGGATTACAGGTAATTGGTCTCTCAAGAGAGAGTGTCCTGGTCTTTGAGCACAGAGAAGGGTCATTACATGGAAAGAGATTTGTTCTTTATTTTCCACCACTTAGAAAAATATGCATAAAACTCCAGCAGAAACCTTTAAGTTGCAATAAAAATTTCAGGAAATAGGTCTTATTCATGTCATTGAGTTTCAGGGTAAACTCTTTTTGAGACAATCTGGACTAGGAGAGACCTGTCAGTGTTGTTGGTTTATGGCCAACCCTGTCTAGAAGAAAAAAGGAAGGATGCAATGCTATATATCTTTGCCAAGTTGGGTTTACCAAAGAAATAATGACGCTACTTTCTAAAATCCAGTCATTTAAAACTTGTCTTATTTTCTACTACTATTTTCAACCATTTCATTTTTCTCATGAAATCTACCGATTTCCCATCAGCTTTTCAGAGTTCAACTGGTTCCAAGGTTTCTGTCAGACTGTCCTACCATCCTCCCACTCCTAACTACGCAGCTGCCCCTTGTGTTCCAGCCAAATAAATCTCTTGGCACCATTTTCCTTACACCCACTGCTGCCTCCACATCATCCTCCACCCCGTGTGTGGAACTGTCTCCCACTTCCATCTGCCATGTCTCTCTCTCTTCTCTATCATATGATTGCCCCCAAAGCCCACCTCTCCCAGGAAGCCTTCCTTAATCAAGGTTAAAGACTCTTCAAACTACAACAAGCATCACCTAACACTGATGTCTAATGCATCCCAACTGTTCAGAACAGGAGCTACCTTTCAGGGATAAGAAGCAATCCCTTCACAGCCAACTAAGTGTGATGGCAGTAGTAAAATGTTTTCTATGAGATGTGACTATACAAAGAAAATAGATCATTTCCACATGTCATTCTTTTTAAAAAAAAATCAGAGTCCTCTATTTGAATTCCCTCAGATCCTGAGAGTGTCTTTTTCATTTCTAATCCCCTAGATGAAGTCCCTTCCCAGCTGCATGCATATTTACAACAGTCAAAAAGTTTGAGCAGATGCTTCCAACAAAGCATACAATTTTAATTAGATGTTTGAATATAGAAGGAATTAAACAGTCAACTATTTAATGTGATGTGTGTAGATTCTGACCAAGTTATTTCTATATACAACTTTGTTTCTAACAGAAATGAGATAACCATGACTATGCGTCTGGCTTGCTATTTTGCAGAAAGGTTTGAGGACCAAGTTTCAGATGTGGTGGGGCTACTCACCCTAACAACTAGTGAGTCCCATGTATAAAGCTGCTTTACTTCTGCTTTAAAAGCAGCTTTTATTGCAGGCCAGCCTTTCACCATTGAGAAATTAGGGTTCAAGTCTCAATCCAAGCAAAGCTGAGGTTTGTTGCATCATCTCCATCCTCAAGGACTTGGTATCCTGGGAAACCCAGGACAAGAACAGGGTGAGTTCAGGACACGTATGTCAGCAGACAGTGCAGCGTGATGGGGCGGGCATCCAACACCTTAAGTGTGTTTTAGTTACCAGAATATTTGACACACCCACAAATTAAATAGCAAAACATTTTAATCAATTAACTCTAAAAATAACAGAGACATGTTATATCCAGTGCCACCTCCTCAAAAGTCTACTGCAGATTAGACAGGCAGACTGCAAAGTAAAGAGCCAGACAATAAATTTTTTTTTTGAGATGGAGTCTCACTCTGTTGCCTAGGCTGGAGTGCAGTGCTGTAATCTCAGCTCACTGTAACCTCTGCCTCCCGGGTTCAAGTGATTCTCCCACCTCAGTCTCCTGAGTAGCTGGGACTGCAGGGGTACGCCAACATGCCCGGCTAATTTTTGTATTTTTAGTAGACACGTGGTTTCACCATGTTGGTCAGGCTGGTCTTGAACTCCTGACCTCATGATCCACCCACCTCAGCATCCCAAAGTGCTGGGATTATAGAAGCTTTGCTGGAGTTAAAAATGCAGTCTGGGATAAGACCATCATAAGAATATTTTCTTCTCCTTTACTCATAAAAATTGTAAGCTTAGGCCGAGCGCGGTGGCTCACGCCTGTAATCCTAGTACTTTGGGAGGCCCAGGTGGACAGATCATCTGAGGTCAGGAGTTAAGAGACAAGCCTGGCCAATATGGCAAAATCCCATCTCTACTAAAAATACAAAATTAGCCAGGCATGATGGCGGGATGCCTGTAGTCCCAGCTACCTGGGAGGCTGAGGCAGGAGAATCTCCTGAACCTGGGAAGCAGAGGTTGCAGTGAGCTGAGATTGCACCACTGCACTCCAGCCTTGGCGTCAAGAGTGAAACTCCATCTCAAAAAAAATGTTGTCAACTTAAAAACCCTTAGAAGAGAGCTTTCTTATGCTGTAAAACCTTTCTCTTTATTTTTAATCTGTCTGCAGTGTTTGAAGGCAAAGCAGATCATCAGCAAACTTACCTCTCAATATAAGGATCTGGGCCGGACTCAGGACTAAAGACTGTGGTTTAGTTCTATTTCTACCAGCACTGTGATGTGAGGTACTATGGTTCTTTTAGTTACAAGAGGTGTTAGGAATGAATGCCCACTCACATTTAATAATAGCTTATCTAGCACACAACTCTGCAGCACAATACCAACAACAGGAGTGTTTTAAAGCAGGATGGAGAAGAAAGCAGAATTTATACAACTTAAGGTTTCCTTTGTCCTTTCCCCTCTTTTGAAAATGAGAATTCAGCTGAAAAACAAAACTCTCCAGAATGCCCACACTGTCCTTTGACCCACCACATTCCAAACTTCTGACTTCTGATCCCAAGCCCTTAGAGCATCAGCCTTTGGTGATGTATCCTTCACGGATGAGGAAATCATAGATTTTCCGGGTTTTATTCACATCTATCTTGATGAGTGCTCTTGCCTGTGCCAGTCTTAAGCCTCCTTGCTTGTTACATTCGTTCAATAGAGCAGATTTGTATTCTAAATAGGCTCCAGGGACCAACCTCACCATCTGACAGAGCTGCAAGACATAGCAAATTTAATAAACATTAACATCTGTCAGTTTTGTAATTTAATCCAGCAGGTATAGCAAAAAAATTTTTTAAAGTGACACCAACCTCCAACTATTTATAGGAGCTGATGGGTGGCTGGACTACATTCCATTTAGTCACTTCCTCTGTGGGGAGAACACTCCCTAAGGACAGACACCCAGGAAGAGAAAGCCAGGGTGTGATGCTAGGAGAGCCTTTAGCACATGCCAGCTGGCTCAGGGGCCTGGGTTTGTTGGAGATTACAAATATGTACTCCTGAGGAGCAGCGTGGCTCATTCAGTAGTCAAACACTAAATGCCCAGGTACAGTCCCAGCACCAATGGTCAAGGAAGAGCCATGGGGCACAGTGGGGGCAGGATGCACAGATACTTGGATTCTCAAGTGCGCATCACATTGTTTCTAATACCAGCATAAAGCAGTAGTCCGTGCTTTGGGGATTACATCTACTTCAAAGAGAAAGGAGATAAAGAGACCTTGCTAAGAGGAGATGACTTTAACTGCTAAAAATCTAGAAAACTGCCACAGTATCCAGCAATGAGGAGTCTGAGGTCATCATGATGTGGAGAAGGATAAAAAAAAGGCTTGAAATTCCAGGCTATTCAGTATTTGAATCAGACTGGCCTATGACCTTCTTCGGCAATACATAGACACTACAGACATTTTCCTTCTACTCCCAAACTAATCCTTACTGTTTCTGGTGGATAAAATAAGACTAACACTGTTACCTACACTATGACCCTTTTTTATTATCTGAACTGAACTAATGATATAGGGTGGGAGAAGGGGGGCTGACCTTGGGAATTAAAAAAGGAACATATGAGGAGCAAAAGAGAAATTCCTCCAAAAGAGTAACAGACTTCAGAGATGTGACAGTTTTCTGAAAACTCCTGATGACGATTCTTATGAGGCTGGATTTAAATTTTAGAAACAATAAAATCAATATGAAGACAAGTCTAATGATTCCAATTGGAAAAAGTAGGTCACATAATTTTTAAAATCAGGCCAGGTGCGGTGGCTCATGCCTGTAATCCCAGTACTTTGGGAGGCTGAGGCAGGTGATCACCTGAAGTCAGGATTTTGAGACCAGCCTGGCTAAGGAGGTGAAACACTGTCTCTAATAAAAATACAAAAATTAGCTGGGTGTGGTGCGCACCTGTAGTCCCAGCTACTCAGGAGGCTGGGCAGGAGAATTGCTTGAACCCAGGAGGTGGAGGTTGCAGTGAGCCAAGAAACATGCCACTGCACTCCAATCTGGGCGACAGAGCGAGATTCCATCTCAAAAAAATATATATATATGTTAAAAAAATTTTTTTTAAATAATTAACATGACTATATTTGATGTTTCCTTATATTTATAAACATGCTCTGCAAACAATTTACAAAAATGTTTTAAATTATGATTATATTGTTGGAATAAGTCCAGAACTTTTCAAGGTGGCCATTCTAATAGGAAATACCTATTTTCATGTAAAAGTTACTTATTTTAGGTTTCCAAAAAATCTATTTTATTTATATAAAGCACTTAGTAGAGTAGCAAATGGTAAGTGCTCAATAAGTTTTTTTGTTTGTTTGTTTGTTTGAGACGGAGGTTTTTTTTTTTTTTTTTTTGAGACGGAGTTTCACTCTTGTTACCCAGGCTGGAGTGCAGTGGCGCGATTTTGGCTCACCGCAACCTCCGCCTCCCGGGTTCAGGCAATTCTCCTGCCTCAACCTCCTCAGTAGCTGGGATTACAGGCACACGCCACCATGCCCAGCTAATGTTTTGTATTTTTAGTAGAGACAGGGTTTCACCATGTTGACCAGGATGGTCTCCATCTCTTGACCTCGTGATCCACCCGCCTCGGCCTCCCAAAGTGCTGGGATTACAGGCTTGAGCCACCGCGCCCGGCCTTGAGACGGAGTTTTGCTCTTGTTACCCAGGCTGGAGTGCAATGGCGCGATCTCGGCTCACCGCAACCTCCGCCTCCTGGGTTCAGGCAATTTTCCTGCCTCAGCCACCTGAGTAGCTGGGATTACAGGCACGTGCCACCATGCCCAGCTGATTTTTTGTATTTTTGGTAGAGACGGGGTTTCACCATGTTGACCAGGATGGTCTCGATCTCTTGACCTCGTGATCCACCTGCCTCTGCCTCCCAAGTGCTGGGATTACAGGCGTGAGCCACCGCGCCCGGCCCACTGCTCAATAAGTTGATAGTTGCTATTATTATGTAATTTACATACCACATGTGCTTTCCCCAGAAGAGGAATGGTGGTAGGGTGACAAGCAATTCCCTGAAATCTGCCACAAATGGCTATTTAGCTCTTGGACTTCTTGGATACACCGAAGCTATGCATATATGTTAAATGAGTGAAACAAAACGGGTTTGACACTATAATGGATTTTTAACGACAACTAAATTAATAATCAGCCCCTATTCTCTTTTCCCCAGCCCCCTCCTCTTTGTTACCTCCTTTTCTTTTTCATTCAGCTTCTCTGTGCCAGGGAGGCCCGTGAGGTTCAAGGGTGGTGCACTCCGTCTACCTATAGAGAAAGGAAAGAGCATAGATTTAATAGGAGTGACAACTTCTCAGGTACAAAGTATTAAAAAGTTCAGTGTAGCCAGGCCAGCTAGGTATAGTATCACTGTATCCAGCTTAGGAAATCCTGTCTCATTCCCTCAGGACTCTTTAGCAACATGGGCACCCCAACATTCACTTGAAAATAAAAATGAATTACATATTCAGGGCACATGAATTACCTACAATCTGCTAAAATACACATACAGTCACACGTACCTTAGCATCAAATGTAACTACTCACCACAGTAGTTATCTTTTATTTATTATTATTTTTTTGAGACAGGGTCTCACTCTGTCACCCAGGCTGGAGTGCAGTGTTGCCATCATAGCTCACTATAGCCTCAATCTCCCTAGCTCAATTAATCCTCCTGCCTCAGCCTCCCAACTACCTGGGAAGACAGGCATGTGCCACCATGTCCGGCTATCACCTATTTCTTCCTAACCATGTAGGAGACTCTAAAATCTGAAGCACAGATGTCACCCGGTTAAGAAAGGTCACACACTGCCTGCCTTGACAGCTGATGAATGGAAATAACTGCAGGAGAGACATTCCCTAATCCTTGCCACTCTGCCAACAGTACAAGGCAAACATGGTAATTAACCAAGTACTCTGTGCCTTCAGATCAAAGACTGTGAGGACAGCAAAAGGCCCTTCTTTTTTATTTTGTGAGAGAATATCTGTTCCTTCCAAAGTAGCCCTGTTTACCTGCAAGATCCACAAACAGGAACAATGAGCCATTATGTGGCAAAGCACGGGCTGAGGTAAACTCACATATCTGAGAAAGAAACCTAAGTAGGAGGTCACTGGCCAGGGGGCAAAGCTTGATGAGCAAAACTTTTTTGGTTTTGTTTTGAATGTCTATTAGGGATTGGTGTTCAGCTGGGAATAGATAGACTAAGTTAAGCAAAGAAAATGTTGAAGTTTTATAGAGGTTGCTTTTCAAGTGTGTCAGAGAAAGGGGAGGGACTGTTACAAGCTGCTCTGGTGGAAAACAGGCCTCTCTGTTATATCAGCAAAACGCATAAGCGATTATCCCAAATCCTCAAAAAGGGAGATAAAATTATTTGGTTTCTCACAAAAGTCACCAGAGGCTAGACTATAATCAAAGATGCCAGGCTTCCAATACATCGATGCCTTAAGAACTTAACATAAAGGAGGGCAAGAGATCTCCTCAGCCTAAACATAAGGGGCGAGAAAAGCTTACATCAGTGTAGGAACAAACAATGAACAAGAGGCCAGGTGCAGACCCTCACACCTGTAATCCCAGCACTTTGGAAGGCAGGAGGATCACGTGAGCCCAGGAGTTCAAGACCAACCCGGACAACATAGTAAGACCTTGTCTCTACCAAAAAAAAAAAAAAAAAAAAAAATCGCCAGGTTTGGTGACACAAGTCTGTAGTCCCAGCTACTCAGGAACTGAACTGGGAGGATCACTTAGGCCTGGGAGTTCGAGGCTGCAGTGAGCCATGATCACACAATGCACTCCAGCCTGGACAGTAGAGGGAGACCCTGTCTCACAAAAAAAGAAACAATGAACAAGTCCATGCAGATGGTTCAGAAAACAAAAATCTGTGATGTTAGCCAGTTCCTTTATTTAATTTAATTAATTTATTTTTAGAGACAGTCTTACTCTGTCACCTAGGCTAGAGTGCAATGGTGTGATCTTGGCTCACTGCAGCCTCCGCCTCCTGGATTCAAGCAATTCTCATGCCTCAGCCTCCTGAGTGGCTGGGATTACAGATGTGCACCACCATGCCCAGCTATTTTTTGTATTTTTTTTTCAGGAGAGACGGGGATTTACCATGTTGGTCAGGCTGGTCTCGAACTCCTGACCTCAGGCGGTCCGCCTGCCTCAGCCTCCCAAAGTGCTGGGATTATAGGTGTGAGCTACCACACCGGGCCCAGTTCCTTCATTTTAATTAGCCGGTACTATATTAGCTTAGTTGTATTTAGATTTTGGGGGCAGAGTGTTGGCAATAAAAAACTTATAAAATAAAACATGGATTTCATTGTCTTGGCTACTCCCCTAAAAGGCTATCTGTTTTCCCTTCAATCACCAAGGATCATCAGATAGTATATGGCTTAATCTTGCTCTGTATACTAATCTCAAAATAGGACATACTCAAAGAGGTAACACTAAGAAACAGAAATACTTTAGGTCCAACTTAGAAATCCTTATGTTTCTAGCAGATAACACATGCTTCCTTGCTCATGTTATATAAAAATAAAAAGCTTAGTCTGGGCACGGTAGCTCATGCCTGCAATTCCAGCACTTTGGGAGGCTCAGGTGGGCAGAACACTTGAGATCAGGAGTTCGAGACCAACCTGCCCAACATGGCGAAACCCTGTCTCTACCAAAAACATAAAAATTAGCCAGGTGTGGTGGCGCACGCCTGTAATCCCAGCTACTCAGGAGGCTGAGGCAGGAGAATCACTTGTACCCAGGAGGCAGAGGTTGTAGTGAGCTAAGATCATGCCACTGTGCTCCAGCCTGGGTGACAGAGCAAGACTGTCTCAGAAAACAAATAAAAAATAAAATAAAAAGCTTTTATCTCCTGTGAAATAAGTGTCAAAATTAGTGGTAGATGCAACTGTAGTAATCTAACTGCTCATGAACACTGGTAAAATAAGTTACCTCTCTAAAGTTCTTTTTTTTTTTTTTTTTGAGACGGAGTTTCGCTCTTGTTACCCAGGCTGGAGTGCAATGGCGCGATCTCGGCTCACCGCAACCTCCGCCTCCTGGGTTCAGGCAATTCTCCTGCCTCAGCCTCCTGAGTAGCTGGGACTACAGGCACGCACCACCATGCCCAGCTAATTTTTTTTGTATTTTTAGTAGAGACGGGGTTTCACCATGTTGACCAGGATGGTCTCGATCTCTTGACCTCGTGATCCACCCGCCTCGGCCTCCCAAAGTGCTGGGATTAGAGGCATGAGCCACTGCGCCCGGCCAACTTTTAATTTTTTATGGTGAAAAATCAAATGGTAACTGGGTAGTGCTCTCACAGAAATACCACAGAAAGACAAGAGAACAATGGAAGTACTATCTCCACAAGCTATCCATCTCTGTCCTCATTTTTAAAACTACTTTTAGTACTAAGATATTTATGAACAAAATAAACTGGGATTTGCTTCAGAATATCCAGTTGAGGGCAGGAGGGAAGGCAGTGGATGATAAAGCTGCAACCAGACTGGCAATGTGTTGAAAACCACTGAAGCTGGGTGATGGATACACAGGAATTCATTATATGATTATCTCTACTTTTATATATATTTGAAAATACCCATGATAAAAAGTGGGGAGAAAAACTATTAAATTATTATTTATCTGGGGCGGTGGGGGAAGCCATTAGGGCTTTTTAACCTCTCTTCGCCACTCCCACAGTCCCAAATTTGTCTCATTGTAATAATGGGGAACAAAGACAGAAATATCCATTTATTTACAGAACTTCACATAAAACACATCATTCTCAATCCTACTTATATAAATACACATATACTGCTCAAGGCTCAAAAACCACCTACATGCATGGCTTTCAATGAATTTGTCATGTTCCACTGGCCCCACAATTCTTGCAAATCGCCTCATTGTTTCATAAAGGTCCTGGACTTCCTTGGGATACCGCCGTTCCATTACTACAGAGAAAAAAAAAACATAAATGTGTCATGGGAAATGTAAGGTGACTAACTTATCCATGACAGGAAGCAAACAGGAAAGCCAAGAATGCAAAACACTAAAATCATAATGATAACAGCATCACAGCAAATATCCCACAGGGATGTTGTTATCACGGAGATCATCTCCACCACTGAGCACTACTGATCTCCCATACCTCACTTTTTTTTCTTTTTTTCTTTTGAGATGAAGTCTCATTCTGTCGCCCAGGCTGGAGTGCAGTGGCATGATCTCAGCTCACTGCAACCTCTGTCTCCTGGGTTGAAGCAATTCTCCTGCCTCAGTCTCCCAAGTAGCTGGGCTTCCAGGTCCCTGCCACCACACCCAGCTAATTTTTACATTTTTAGTAGAGACAGGGTTTGACCACGTTGGCAAGGCTGGTCTCAAACTCTTGACCTCAGGTGATTCACCCGCTTTGGCCTCCCAAAGTGCTGGGATTATAGGCGTGAGCCACCATGCCTGGCCCACCTCACTGTCTTTTAAACCACAGAGGGGCAGGAGGTGCTGGCAGTAATGGACAAGAAAATTAAAGGCAGAGCTTACATGCTTAGGAACAATTATGGCCAAAATTTATGGTATTAACTCCCACAGGAAAACAAGGAAACTAAAGACACAATAATCCATCCAGAAGATTTGCCACTGCTGGGAAAAGTGTGATTTCTTGCATGTCCCATCTACACATCCTCAAGCAAGATACATATTTTTTCATTCTTCATATGGGTCATTTTGCCTTTCTCCAAACTAAATCAACTACTGTAACTTAATTTAGTCCTAATGAAGTTATATTTGACAAGTGTCATGAAAATATCTTGCAGGGATGCCAGGGCTGCAACTCTGGGGATCATTACTGACCAAACAGCTAATCAAAAGACATATCTGCAAAGAAGATGGAGAGTAAAACTGACAATAACTGGTAGACTGAGGCAGTCAGGAACTCTACAGCTGCTACTTGGGTCACTTCAATCTGATAATCAGTAATTAGGTTAGTTCTGTCTACTTTTAGACTAAAGATACAGGCTTTCATTTATGTCAGCTATTTTTTTTTTTCCTAGCTTACTTTTTTATTTTTTATTTCTGAGACAGGGTCTTGCTCTGTTGCCCAGGCTGGAGTGCAGTGGCACAATCACAGTTCACTGTAGCCTCAAGCTCCCAGACTCAAGAGATTCTCTCACCTTAACCTCCCAAATACCTGGGACTACAGGCACATGCCACCGTGGTTGGCCTTATTTTTTTTTTTTAAACAGAGATGGGGGTCTCCCTATGTTGCCTAGGCTGGTCTTGAACTCCTAGGGTCAATCATTCCTCCTGCCTCAGCCTCCCAAAGTGCTGGGATTATAGGCGTGAGCCACCATGCCTGGCCTATGACAGCTATTTAAATTAAGTCCTCTTTTTAGGTGAATCTTTTCTATTGCAGGAGACATTCTTATCCAAAAATTCTAAAAGCTGATTTAAGGAGCAGCCATAGAAAAGACAAACCAACAACAACAAACAACAACATAGAAGAATACAGAGTAAAATTTTTAAATTTTAAGGAAAAAAAAAAAAACCCTGCCTACCATATTAAGGTCACTTGTACATTCTGTATAATGGCAACTGAGTATCTCTGAAACCACATTGCACACTCTACTTCTACAATCTCAGAAGCAACAGAGCTTCCCCTCAGCCCTATATTTGAAAAAACATAGTTAATAGAATAATGAAGTCAAACTGACCCCTATCAGTTGAAAGTAGAATTTATGCAACAGTCTATGTCTTTGAGGAGTAAAGGTCAAAAATAAACTGAAATATTATGGAAAACTAGGGAATTCCGATAGAGAACTTACTGCTGTGTCTACTAGAACACGACCAATTAAACCTGATCCTGAGTTATTTTTGCAAATCCACAGGTCATGATAAGGACAGGGTTCAATAGGCAATCTCATATGCTGCTAGAAGAAACAAATGTTTATACAACCATCTTTTGGAAAGCAGTTTGGCAGCAGGTATCAATAATTTTTAATGGTCACAGTTTTAGATGTATTAATCCCACTTCTAAAAATCTATTTTAAAAATCCTAAATAATCACAAAGCTTTATTCACAAGTTCATCACAGCATTATTTACGTAATGATTAAAAGAACTGAAAACAAGCTAAATACTTAGAGAAAAGTTATGCATATAATTATATGTAATATATACAACATATTTAACTATTAAAAGTACATATCACGTACTCTGTTAAAACTGATATCCTTAAAACACTACAGTAACTTGAAAAAAATGTGTAACATAAAGTGAAAACATATAGGAAATAAGGCCGCATGGTTGCTCACATCCATGATCCCAGCACTCTGGGAGGCCAAGGTGGGCAGATTACTTGAGTCCAAGGAGTTCAAAACCAGCCTGGACAACATAGCGAAACCCCATCTCTACTAAAAATACAAAAAATTAGCTGGGCATGGTGGCACACGCCTATAATCCCAGCTACTCAGGAGGATGAGATGGGAGAATCACATGAGCCTAGGAGGTGGAGACTGCAGGGAGCTGAGCCACTGCACTCCAACCTGGGCAACTAGAGACCCTGTCTCAAAAAATAAATAATAAAGGACATAAAATGTAACATACTTATGACCATGGCTATATATTTTTTAAATACTATAGGTTTTCAGATATGGGTCTTGCTCTATTGTCCAGGCTACAGTGCAGTGGCATGATTATAACTCACTGTAGCCTTGAACTCCCGGGCTCTAGTGATCTGCTGCCTCAGCCTCCCAAGTAGCTAGGATTACAGGCACAAGCCACCATGCCTGGCTGGATATTTATTTATATTGAAAAGACACTTAACCTTGCTGACTGAATCCCATAATGCTATGGATTATTAAAGAAATAACCCTATAAAAATCCATCAACTGGGATATGTTTTACAACCATTAGGCACTTTTACAAAAAAAGATTATGACACACAACTATTATAAATATTTTCATACAAACATTATGATTGTTATTATGATATCATCCTTCTTATTTGTGAAACAGACTCTACACTGTGGAAGAAGAAAATGTACCGGGACTTTTCTGCCCTGTTTAGGTATCTCTGATATTTAAAATAAGGGCCAGGTGAGGTAGCTCGAGCCTGTAATAAGGAGGCTGAGGTGGGAGGATCACTTGAGCCCAGGAGTTTAAGGCTGCAGCGAGATACCATCACGCCACTGCACTCCATCCTGGGCAACAGAGCAAGACTCTGTCTCTTAAAAAACAAACAACAACAACAACACAGTAAGATCAAGGTAGCATTTATTTGAAAAATGACTGTACTTATTTTTATCACCGTCACATAATATTAAAGTCATTTATTTTGTCTGTCTACAACCATGCAAAATAAAGATATCACTTTGTTAATTTTTATCTAATTTTTTTTTTTTTTTGAGACAGGAGTCAAGCTCTGTCACCTGGGCTAGAGTGCAGTGGCAGGATCTTGGCTCACTACAACCTCTGCCTCCCAGGTTCAAGTGATTCTCCTGCCTCTGCCTCGAAAGTAGCTGCGATTATAGGCACATGCTACCATGCCTGGCTAATTTTTGTATTTTTAGTAAAGACAGGAGTTTCACCATGTTGGCCAGGCTGGTGCTGAATTCCTCACCTAAGGTGATCCACCCACCTCAACCTCCCAAAGTGCTAGGGTTACAAGTGTGAACCACCACACCTGCCTTATCTAAAATATTTTTACAACCTGAAGATTAAGGTTATGTTACGTTTAACACACAGTTGCAAAACTTGACTCCAGAAAATGATTCATTAATATTCACACTGTAATTACTATACAAAAAGAATTTTAATACATGTTTTGTTGACTACAGATTAATACTTTTATTTTATTTATTTGTTTTTGTTTTTGTTTTGTTTTGAGAGGGAGTCTCACTCTGTTGCCTAGGCTGGACTTCAGTGGCGCGATCTAGGCTAACTGCAACCTCCACCTCCCGGGTTCAAGTGATTCTCCTGCCTCAGCCTCCCAAGTAGCTGGGATTACAGGCATGTGCCACCACTTCGAGCTAATTTTTTTTTGTACTTTTAGTAGAGATGAGGTTTCACTGTGTTAGCCAGGATGGTCTAGATCTCCTGACCTCACGATCCGCCCACCTCAGTCTCCCAAACAGCTGGGATTACAGGCATGAGCCACTATGCCCGGCCCCAAATTAATACTTTTAAACTTTCACTATGGATCAGAATTGCCCTGAAGACTTTTAAAAATGCAGATGCTGTACCTCCAAACCCAGAGATTCTTACTTGATTAATCGGGGGTGACAGCCATGCATCAGTTTTAGGTATCTTCGTAGATTAGGCTAATATGCAACTTGGATTAAGAACTACAATACATGATTTATTTAAAAGTATTCAATAATATTGGAAAAATTGTAAGATAAAGAAAACTGCTAATACTTACACTGAAACTTTCTAAGGTTGATTAATCCATGGTCTCTTATAATTCTAGAATGAAAAGCCACAATAATTTGTGTATTAGAATTATTTTCAATTTAGTAATGCTTTCCACATACAGCTATCATTAGATATCTTAAACACTCTAAGGTAGAATACAGAGATCCAAAA